CACCCCCCCCCCCCCCGCCCCGGCCTCCAGCCTCCAGCCTCCAGCCTCCCGTGAGGCACCAAGTGGGCTGAGCCACAGCCAAACCGACCGTTTCTGTGCCGCTGTCCAAGCAGAGGGCCTCGGGGAGACTGGGAGTGTTGCCCGTGCCCAAGATAAAGGCTGGGCATCCCACCAAACTGGACTTCCACATTTGGTGAAAACCTTCCTGGGGCCCTGGGCTCAGGACCCTCCACGACTGGCCTTTGTAGGATCTTTAGCCTCCGTCGAGATGATCAAAACTGCCCCCGCCAGAGCTGCGGCCTCCGGTCTTCCAACCTATTTAGGCCCCTCGAACCTCCGGCCTCCCAACTGCCCAGAAGCCGCCACGCCCCTCCCATGGGAAGAGGTGCGGAGGGGGAGGCCTGCCTCCCCAGAGGGCAGGGGTATGTGTGTGCCAGCACCCACGTGTGTGCTGGCTGGGGAGCAGCTGCAAGGCACAGTGGCCGACGTCGACCCCGTCTGACCATGTGTCTGACAATAAATGGCTGCCACAACTTCCCCGGCTCTTCTTTGTGGTCGCCCCCCGCTCTCAAGCGTCCCTTCCTCGTCAGACCCAAGCTGCATCAGACTCTCCCCACACGACGGAGTGAGGCTGGCGGCAGCCTGGTCCCATGCAGGGAGGGAAGCTATGTCTGGTGAGAAGGGGCCGCACTGGAGCAGTGCCTCCCACGCCCCTCCCACCGCCCCCCATTCCCAGGACCGGCCGCACAGCAGCCCGCGACACCCACACACCGAGAGAGGAGCCCAGGGCAGAAAATGAGTCTATTTCGTGCCCTCCAGGGCAGCCAGTCAGTCAGAAGGCCTCTCATTTAGGCCTGTGAGTCCCATTTAAGGGAAATGGGGGCAGAGGAGCAGTAAGGCATCACCAAGGGACCCTCCCTCCAGCCATCGCCCTGCCCCTGGCCCTCCCCAGAGTAGGAGGGCAGCCCCATCTGGGGGTTCTCCGGAAAGGTGGAGGTGTCCCTGATGTTCTGCAGAAAAGCCAGGTGGGAGAAGGGAGCAGCTGACCCCCCGTCTGGCAGACCAGCAGGGCAAGTCCGGGGATCAATGTCCAGCCCTCCAGAGAGCGGGCCTCAGTTTATGGGCTGGTATTCTGAGCACTGCCTGTGGCCCAGCAGCAGAAACACGCCTCCAGCCAGCAGCATGAGCCCCGGGGCACCCAGGGCCACCGCCATGATGCCTAGGACTAGTGGGGACAAGGTGTCCAATGGAGGGGTGCCCACACCCAGGAGCGTCGACCTGAGGCAAGCACAAGTGAGAAACAGAGGTGAGCACATTAGACGAATACGCTGGGAGGCCAGGCTCCCCCACGTCCCCTCCCAAAGCCCCGGCTCAGCACCCCTGCCCTGCCCCAGGCCCTCACCAACTGAGGTAGTGTGCGTCCCAGTAGCCAGGGCCTGTGGAAGCCCCAAATGTCAAATTGAAGGCACAGAAGTTATTGTGGGACTCAAAGAAGGCTCTGACTATGGGTGACTGGGGGAGGTATGCCAAGGAGGGGTGAAGAGGGGAAGCTTGGCAGGGCAGGGCTGATTCCCGGCCCCTCTGCCTCTGGGAGAAAGCCACTGGTCGCCACTGCACGAAGCCGGATGGGAGGGAGCCCCACAGCAGCTGGTTCACCTGGGGAGAAAGACAAGCCACAGGCTGAGGAGGACCAGCCTGTGCCCAACCCTTCTGTTCCCCCACCCTTCCCGGCCTCCAACTGTCACTAGGTGTCCTGAGTCCTGGGTCTGCTTCAAGGACTCACAGGCCGTTGGCACAGAGCCTTAATCTCTCCTCTGTCGGAAGGGGAGTTGGGCCACGGGCACTGGGTCCTTTTCCAGCCCCAACCCTCTGCAAACCTGTACTCAGCTCCTGCCCCCAGACCCCCAGGCCCCCAGGCCCGCCTTCCGTCTTCTCCACTGAAGGCAGAGATTTGTCAGCACAGTGACCGTCACTTAAAGGAGCCGAACTATGTCGCTAAAAGATAAACGGTTCCATGATTCTCTCCTGCATCCCCCCACCCACCCGCCTCTCTGCTGAAGGCCTGACCTGGAAGACAGCAGGTGCATATTCATCGTCGATGGAATGTTGCTCCTGCATCAAGGGGCAGTCGGGGCCCGGGCCCAGGGTGGCTACCTCCAGCCCAAACAGGGAGCGGTTTCCCCTGGGAGAGGCCCCGACCAGGGCCACCTCTAGCTGGCAGGTGTCGGCCGAATGCAGGAGGCGCGGGGGCTGGTCTGGTCTGCCGGATCCAGAGAAGGCCTGCACCTGGGATGGGGGAGGTGGGGGAGGACGGGAAGCAGGGGGGCAGGCCTGGCTTTGAAGGGCACCCCCACCCTCATAAACCAGCCTTCTGAGTTCCTCTGCTTCCCCACACCCTTACCCTGAAGGTGAGGCTGCCATTGGCAAAAGCCCCGGTGGGGTCGTCGGTGGGGCGGCCTCGAAATGTGGCGCTCAGGGTGGCAGGATCCAATGAGTCCGTGATATTGTTCCAGGAGAACTTGGCCAGGGAATATGGGGGATACGGTTCTCCCGGAGGCTCGGCCCCCTCGGATGTGTTGGCGCCATCAAATTCAAAGAGCTGGCGGGTGGGGTGAGGTGGGGCAGGGCTTGCCTGAGTCCAGCTGTCCCCGGAACCCCCCCCACCCACGGGCCCCCACCCGCAGGCTCCCGTACCTGACTGCTTCCCGTACCCCGTCTTCAGTCCCTCCCTCGAATCCGGATGAACCCTCTGCTCCGCACACGCTCCCCCTTGGTTCTCCCCCAACCTCCTCACCCTGGTAAAGACAAGGGCAGAAGAGAACTGGATGCTGTCCTTGGGGAGCACCACCAGGCCCCCGTCAGGCTCAGGGGACAGCAGGAGGCTCCAGTTGACACTCAGGGTGCTGTGGGGGGTGTCGGTGGCCACGAGCAGCACTGCCGGAGGCCCCACGCTGCTCCACACGTAGTGCAGCGTGGAGTTGGTTCCCACTGCCCGGATGTGCAGGAGGTTCTGGGGGGCGTCCAGCCCGGGAGGGATGACCTCCAGAGACACCTAGAACACGGAGCAGTGGAGGGTCAAGGGAACAGGGTCGGGGGAGAGACACAGGGCAAAGCAGCTTGGACGTGATGGGGAAAGGCAGGAGGCGGGTTGAGGGCTGGGGGAGAGGAGGGCAGAGCCACAACCGCCCCGCCCCCAGCGGACGGATGAGGGCGCAGGGCAGGGGCCGGGGGAGAAGCAGCCCAACGCTCGCCCGGACCTGGGTCGCTCAGGGCTGAGTCAGGGCCCAGCTTCCACCGGAAGACAGGGAACCCTCACACCCGCCCTCCTCCACAGTCCTGTCCCAGGAGCCCTGGCTGAAGAACTCGTCTCCAAGCAGCCACCCACCCCTGCGCCTTGGGTGCCCCCGGGATTCCAAGCTCCCTCCCAGAGTTGCGTTTCCCGAAACATCTACTGCTCTAGCCCCTCACCTGGCGGGTCTCCTCCC